TGGATTTCGACTCAAATTTCAATTTTCAAAAAAAAGAACTCTGGAATTTTAAGAATAAACATGCAATCCGATGAATAATTTCATAATTTCGAATTTAAAAAAAATAATACTTTTTTCGGGAAAAAATGTACATTTAAAACTGAATTCAAGGCTGTTATGATATTTTTGCAGTGCTAAGCCAATCGAATTATTATTTTTTTCTTCTCTACTTTTTAAATGTTATAACATAGGTAATTTTCTATAGGGAGAATTTCATATATGCCCCTCTTAAACTTCAAAATATCATATTTACAATGGATATGAAATGGTATTATAAGTAGATCTTTTTAAATCTATTTACGAGGCTGAAGTTCATGCTTTTTGCACCTACTCCACCTTTTTGGGTGCAATAGAAGTGTCAATTTTTCTCATTGACGTGATGTCTAAGTCAAATGCACCCTAAGACCATCTCCAACCCACTTCCATATTTTCCTCTAAAAATGGAGTAAAAAATGGAGTAAATAGTATTTCATCTCCAACCATACTCTATTTTTTACCCCATTTTAACCCCAAAAGTATATTCCTAGTATATCCAATCTTCCAACTTATATAAATTATCATACACCCCCTTCTACTAATTTGGTTTTAACAAATATATAATCTATATTTTTTTCATTACAATAATATAAAATAAATAAGATTATATTTATAATACTTAATTATAAGCTTTTGTAAAATACGTTATCGTGTTTCAAAATTTCAATATGTATTTAATTTTTTATATGAATTTGATAAACAAAGAACAAACTTTATATTTATAATTAATAAATATAATTTAATATATATATATATATATATATATATATATATATAACACAATATTCTAAGTATTAAATATTACATTTAAATTATTATTAGTAGATAAAAATAAACTAGAAATGTATAAGGATATAAAAAGGACTAAAACCGACAACTCAAAGTTCATCCCCATTTTGGGGGTAATTAATAGTATAACACTATATTTGGTGTTATACTATTCATTTCCCCCAAAATAGGGTAATAAATGGAATAGGGTTAGAGAGGAATGTGAGAAATAATGGAGAATGAGAGTGGGTTGGAGATGCTCTAAATGAAGTATAAGGATGAGTGTCAAATTCTGTACGTCTCCTACCTTTTTGGTGGGATAAAAAAGTGTAAATTTTTGTCTCATTGACATTATTTTCAATCTTGTTGGAAACATAGTGTTCATAGTCTTAATTATTGGTAACATTATATTAATAATAGGGTCATGTCCGGTTACCCTTTAGACTCAATTTTAGACTCAATTGAACAATTAAATGACAAAAGAAAATTAGGAGAAATTAGTATATTAATTTGTCATGTTATGATAAAATAATTACAAGCCATTTTTGAATTAGTTAACTACACAAACTGGATGTTAATTAATTAAAAGCTTTTAACTAAGAAAAATTAAGTAATCTATCAAAAAAATTTTGTGTATTTGAGAAAAAATTAACCAAAAAAGTATTTTTAGCAAAAATAACCACTTAGGTCCAATATGGACATTTCAGAAAAAAAAAATAATAATAATACGTTTTTCTGGAGAGAATGTACATTTTAAACTGATTTCACACCAATATTCAAAATTTCGAACTCAAATTTCAGATTTCGAAAAAAAAAATCTGAAATTTTAAGAATAAACCTGAAATCCGATGAATAATTTCATAACTTCGAGGAAAAAAATCGCTTTTTAAATTAAACAAACATAATAATACGAACAGTATACGATATTAGTACATAAAATCAGATATTTTATTAAAAAAAAGTAACACATTAACATTAACACTTCGAAATGTTGATTTCGAACATAAGTATCGATAATTCTTTATAAAATTTTTGGAAAAAACTAAAAAAAATAGCTCCAAAATTAAAGATCATATCCGGAATGGAACATTTGAAATCCAAAAAAAGATCAAGAGAATTGCTTGATTTTTTTTTTAAAAAAACCATGAAATATAAATAATACTCTAGGATAAAGGCATTCCGAAGAAAGTTGTTATTTTTCAATAAAATAAAAAAAATGTTTTTCTATTTGAAAAAATCATTTATAATTATTAGATTACTTAGTTTCCCATAAATTTATTATTTAAATTAATTAGTATATAAATTAAATTTTATAATTTTGGAAAAGTGTTGACAAATAAACATCCATATACATACTTAAAGCATACGGTATGAGACTAGATAACGTCATTATGGTCTACGTGGATATGTCTGAACGACGCCATAACACAGGCTGTTATGACATTGTTGCAATGTTAAGGTAATCGAATTATTAAATTTTTTTCTTCTCCATTTTTAACATGTTATAATATAAGAACATAATTTTCTATATGATATAAGGTTGAGATGGATACGAAATTGTATTATAAATTTGAAGATGAGAAAGAGATTCGTCACCATATGTCACAGACTTATCTGAAACTTATGGAAAGTTATGGAAACTCAAGAATGATCATGTGTTTAAAGGAGTATTCGCAAAACCCGCAACTGTGTTGAAGCCGTAAAATCAATGGTGTATTTTTGGTTAAAATACAGGGGTAAACAAGTAATGTGCACTTAGAAAGAGTGGTCATCACATCCGTTTGGGTGATGTCTTTAGTTTTTATTTGATATATCATTTGTATTTGCTTTTAGTTTAAACAATGTTCTCTTCCATTGGTTTGTTCTCTGGCTAGTTTCTTGCTAGTCTTGGGTTTTTTTTATAAAAGTTGTCATTTCAAAAAAAAATATAGAGCAAGCTCTAATAAAAAGTCAAAGAGCTTTTACATTCGGAACGTTTTATTTATTTGTTTTCTTATTTTTTTATTTTTTATTCAAGTGAGCATTCTAAGGCTTGAGGCAGTGGCCTCGCCACCCCTCTCGCCAAAAGGTTCGCTATGAGATGCTATATCATCCCCAACAGCTCGCTAAAGGACGCGCCAAGAAGAACTCGTTAAGAAGCTAGCGAGATGAGAGAAAATAAAGAGCTTAAATCTGATTGGTTATTTTCTTTTTCTATTATTATTTTTCGTGATTCACCTTCGGTTCGCTGTTGCCTCCCTCAATCTCCTCTCCACAAATTTGAGTTATTCACTTGCTTTCGGGAAAAAAATCGCAATTTCTAAGCTTGAAAATGGAAAATGGGAGACTGTCGCTGCAACTAGTTGCTCGGAGGAAGAAGATAGAAATCTGAATTTGACAGAAATAGACCTCCAAAAATCACATACTTACACATCACACCCCCTATCTTAATTCCTCTCACAAACCAACTTTCTGAAATTACCAAAAGGACCCTTCACTTATATTTTATACTTATTTTTATGTAGTTGATTTATATTATATTAACTGTTGGTGGTTTAAAAAAATAAAATTTGATTAATATTTGTGCATAAAAAATGTTTGTGTATTAAAATAAAGGGATAATGACTTAGAAGGGTAACATATTATTCAATTTGTACACATTTGGTCACTGAGTTTTTTTTTCGTCCACATTGACCCCTTAAACTTGTTAAACTGTACACATTCAGTCATTATGATCTGTTACTCCAGGTTAGCCGGGAAAAATGACTTGATACGGTAATATATTTTTCATTTTGTACACATTTAGT